GCCCCCGCGGCCCGGTCCCCGGTCACGAACTCCATCTAGGGGGGTGGGGGGTGTCAGCTGGCCCCGCCCCCAGCCCCATCCCTTTCTGGGACCCCCGCCCCTAGGAGCCCCCCCGTCCAGTACCTCCTGCCACTGCAGTTTGAAGGTAAACAGCTGAGTTCCCTCTGTGACGCCCGGGGAGGCCCCGCCCCCATCATCAAGCCCCGCCCCCAAAGCTGTGGCCCCACAGGTCGGGAATCTCTCCCACTGCTGTCCTGGAGGCCCCTCCTAAATCTTAGGCTGGGTGGGGGGGTAGGGGAGGGTCTCAGTCCCCCTCCCCACCTCTCCCCAGGGACCAGGTGGCCCCGAGCTCGACCTTCTGCAAGCTTTACACCCTAACACCACTGCTCAGCGCCAACCGCAAGAAGCCAGGACTGGCCCTGCATGGGAAGCTCAAGCACGAGGACACCAACCTCGCCTCCAGCACCATGCGAGCCCCTTACGCCCCCCACTCACCCCATTGCCAACTGCAGCAGGGACCCCTTAGACCAGGGGCATGAAATTATTTGGGGCAGACCCATCGAGGGCTGCATGCCAGGCAGCTGGGGGCAGATAAATATTAATTTTCTAAATTTTTTAGGAGCCTCGCAGGCTGGATAGAATGGCCTGGCAGGCCGCATCTGGCATGCGGGCTGTATTTTGCCCACCCCTTCCTTAGACCCACTCCACAACCAGTGGCATCCTTGTTGTACCAGGCCACTGGCTCCACCCCAGAGCCAGCTGCATCAGGAAGCTGTTATACCCATTCCCAGAGCCAGCTGCAATCAGGGACCTGTGACACCTACCCAAGCCAGCTGCATTCATTTTATACTTGTTTGCCAGCTCCACCCCAGAACCAGCTGCATTGGGGAGCTGTGTCCTACCTATCCCATGCCCAGCTGCATTCATTTTATATTAGACACCTGTGTCCCTTCCTGTATGTGAGCAGGTGTCCAGGCACCCCCAGAGCCACACAAGGGGATCCAGGTGTCCACCCCCTCACCCCACTCGGGGCCACAAGGGAATCCAGATGTCCAGGCTTTGGAAACCCCCCCAATATAACCTACAGGGCTCCACCACCCACCCAGAGCAGGAAGACAACCCAGGCATTGGGCTTCCAGCCCCTGCTGCTCCCAATGCCCAATACTGGGAAAGAACCCAGGTGTCCAGGCTCCCCACTACTGTCCTGGAGCCGGGAGGGAACCCAGGCATCCAGGCCTCCGAGCCTCTCCAGATAACCCCGCTAGGCCCTGCTGCCATGGTCGAGTCTGGGGAGAACCCAGGCATCCAGGCTGCCCGGGAGACAGCACTGGCCCAGGCATGATCCCTGTTTCTTAGGGTCAAATTCAAGCGTGTGACGTTTAATAAATGAGTGCCCTGCAGCCCCCGCCAGCTCATTACATGGCCCCCTCCACCTGCCTGATTGCCCAGTCCCACACAAGGGGGCTTGGAAGGGGGTGGGGGGCTGGGGGCAGGCAGGATACGGCCCTCGGAGAGGGCTGGGGCAGGGGGCTGGGATCCAGCTGCCACAGGGGTCCCAGGGCAGGGGGTGCAGGTGGGGTCTGCATGGCAGCTGGATGTGGCCCTGGTGGGGGGGTGGTCCCCGCGTATTCTCCATGAAGACACCACTCTGCATCATTGCTTCCTCTTCCCCTGTGCAGAGACTTGGCCGCATTTCCGGGGGATGCGGGGGGACTGCAGGAGGCAGACCCTGCCCCCCTCAGCACAGCAAACGGTAGATCCATGCCAGTGCCACGGTGACATCCTGCCAACAGCGCTGCAGCGTGCTCTGGGAGTAGCAAGATGGCGGCAGCAGTGATGATGCAACTCGGGGCTGTGCAGCCTCTCAGGGCTGGGGTCAGGGGTCGCGGGGTTACAGCCCTGGACATGGGACTGGGAGGGTCCCAGGGGTTGGGGGGATAGGCCTGGGGAGCACAGGGAGGGAA